GGGGGGGGGGGTCTCCAAGTCACAGAGCAGATGCACCGACCCGGAGACCCTACCTCAGGGGGGAGCACAGGGGCAGTGGGCACAGAGCCGACCTCTCAGTCGCGCCAAGTGTGCGAGCAGGGAGCTCACGCTGGCGCTGGGGAGTCCCGCCAGGAGATGCCGCCTCATCCTCCCGTCTCTGGGGGCCCCACGGGCGAACCCCGAGAGCTGGCAAAGCCCTCAGAGACCATCCAGCACAGCTGTTTCCAAACACGCTCCAGCCACGGGGCCCTGGTGGCAGCTGAACCTCCTCCCTCCGCAAAAAGCCCAAGCAAAACATAAAAGAAAAGACGTCCAGTGGAGGGGTCCTGGCTGTCACGTCACCCAAGCTGGAGGGGCCACCGGTCTCCTGAGGGTCTTCTAGAAGACAGATCCCAGGCCTGCTGCCCCAGCACCTTCAGTTGGCAAAGCCCAAGTGTCTGTGCTTTAAAAGGTCCCCAGGTGATGCCACCGCGCTCCCCCAGGGCATCCGGAAACCGCTGGTCACCTGCCCCTGGTCACCAGCGGGACAGAGTGCTTTAACGCCCTGACGCTGAACCCCCATCTGGGAGGACAGAGATGCAGAACTCCATGGGATGCTCCGCTCAGCCCCTTCCCCGTCCCTGAGGCGCTCTTCCGGAAAGCTAGGCTCCAGGCCGCAGGTGGCACGGTCCGTGCCTTCCGGCAGCTCCTGTGCACCGGCCCGGCTCTGGCCCCCAGTCCACCCGGTCACAGCCGCCCCCTCCCCAGAACGGCCGAAGATACCGGAAGGCAGGGCCGTGCACGCGTCCACAAGCCTTGGGCCCCGCTCACCGAAGCCTGTGTCCTTCCCAAGCCTGTCCCTGGACCCCTGGATGGGGCTGGGGACTACTGTCCTCAAGGGGCCTCTCCGCTCCCACAGGCCACAACCCCCCCTGGGACAGTAGAGGCTTCGGCCGATGGAAGCATGGCCGTGCTGGGATGCCAGCGTCCCCGAGGAGGAGCCGGGCAGCCGCGGCGGCCGTATCCAGCAGTGACGACCCGCCAGCGCTGGGCCCAGGGGCGCATGGGCCGGCCTCCCCTCCCCCGTCTCACCTCAAACACTTCCTCATCCAGGATCCGGGTTCCGAACACGATGATGCCGTTGACGTCGATTACGGGGTGGTCGCTGCGGTCGAGGGGCTTGGTGGTCTTCTTTTTACAATCCAGGATCAAGGTGACGTTCTTCTTGTGGATGCTGAGAGCGATCCTGTGCCACCTGCAGAGAAACAGCCCAGCGGGTGAAGGGGGCCCGTGTCACGGAAGGCCAGCACAGGCGGCCCTGCGGCAAACGGCCATTTCCCGCACCGTCAGGGCGGGGCCGGGCAGCTCCGAGCTGAGCCCCTGCCATCAGACCAGGTTGGGTGCAGATGTCGGCCACACAGCGTGGCCCTGGGCGGTCCGCTCGGGCCGTGGAGGTCTCCGCGTCTCTCACCTCTCACCAGGTCAGCTGTCTGCCCCCGTGAGCTCCCTGGGAAGCCCCGGGCACGGGCTCTGGAACCTTCCGCGGGCTCTCCAGCGGGTCAAGGGCAGGCAGACACAGTGGCCCTGCCTCGCGAGAGCCCCCCGAACCCTCCGGCAGACTGCGGGCTGCTGGACAAGAAGGCGCTTGCAGGGGAGGGGGAGGATGGGTGGGCCTGTGTGAAGTTCTCAGCGAGAAGAACGGGGACCACATCCCGAGGCTCTTCGAAGATCACGCACAGGGCCTCAGACGTGTCAGCCACGGACGAGCTGACTTTCAAACTACCAGGGTGGAGGTATGCCCCCAGCAGAGAATTCTGGAAAGACCTGTCTTTTTTGTTTTGTTTTTTTTTAAATCGTGTGCTCCCGCCTCTGATGTGTCTGTGTCCTTAAGGGTATCTTACATCTTTTCTGGAAGGAGTCAGGTATAACCACACAATTTTTTACGTCCCTGCTGAGACCAGGAGCCTGGCATTTGAGATAGTTTAGCGCATTTTATGCAGGGGAAGCAGAGAGGCCCAGGGAGAAGAAAGGGCTCCCCAAAGGCACGCAGGACGACCCGAGACCAGGACCCAGGCCTCCAGACTCGAGCCCCGTCCTCCCTCTGCCTGGCCCCGCCTGTGCGCATCTGGCACTACCCTGCTTCTTATAAAGCGCGTCCTGCCGTGGGGTCCCTTAGCAGCCAGCAGGCTTTCGGCGGCCTGCCCTGACCCTCCAGCGGGGGCAGGACTGGGCTGCCGAGCGGTGCCCACTTACTTGCCATCCGACAGGTTGATGCCCCTGAAGAGGGGATAGTCCTCTGGCCCTGGTTTCCCTGTGTGGTCCTCATAGAGGAAAACCGGAGAGCGGCCCATTTCCAGGCCGATCTGCTGGATGCCCTGCTCATTGTAGATGGAGACCAGGAAGGCCTGGCTGCCTTTCTTGGCTTTCACAGTGGTTAGAATGGAGAAGTCCTCGGGAAATGAAGACGCTGTAACAGAAGACAGAGGGAAGAGGGCAGTCAGGAAGCCCTCAGCTGCACGTAGCCGCAGCTCTGCAAACAGACCAGCTCGGGACCTGGCAACTTCGGACGCATATGGTGGTGCACAGCCATCTGCTACACATCTGCCCCTTGATCAAACTGTTCCTGTAGCCCTTCCCTATCACCATGTGACCGAGCCCATCCTCTGTGAAGCTCAGTAAAGGCAAACTTGATTGCTCCTTCCCGCTGTGAGCCTTCAGTGTCATCTCCTGAGTCCCTCAACACATCTGCACGTAAATCCTAATCAGAACCTCCTAGAATGTCAGCTTCCTCTGAGCAGGGGCTGTTCCAGATGCATCACTGTTCCTAAAGCTGGACCTGGCAGATTGTGTCTCATTTGGTGCCTGCAGGAGGGAGGGAGGGGGAGAGAGGGCAGGGGAAAGGAAGACGAGAAGCAGGGACCATACTTTTTGCCGTTTCCCGGTTGATATGCAAACCAGAAGAAAGAGAGAAAGAAATCAAAGGACTTCAACCCAAACTTTTAAAAAAGAGAGAAAAAAACCAACCCTGTATGTTGATGGCAGAAAACACACTTTACATCTCAGGACGGAAACAACACAAGGTCACTGACAGCCAGACCCACGCGGCCCGCTGAGTGCGCGCAGGCCGTCTCCGTGTGCTCCCGACCTCCCCACTCGCACGCGCCATTCTCTGGCCGTGACAGTGGCGCAGCCCGCAATTCCGCACGGGGCCCGGGGCGTGGAGAGAGCGTGGCTGGTCCTGACACAGGGGAGCCACGCAGAAACGCTCTGCGGAACTGGCCAGAAGGAGCGGCACCCGGAGAGGTGTGGCTCCGACTGACGGGGGCGGGGCGTGGGGATGGGAGTGAGAAGCGTCACGCGGGGCTGTGGACCCGGCTCACGGACCTGAACACGGAGGGACTCTGTTATCAGACCCACCGCTCCTTGGGACAGCAACCCGGTCGAGCAGCCGCCCCAAGGTCCGAGGGGCGGCAGGGCTGGGGTGGGGGGCCGCGTCCAGCCCAGAAGCTATCCCTGAGCGCCCTCTGCTGACGGAAGAGCTGCACGGCCAGGCCACCGCCCCTGCTTCTGCTCACTGGAGCAGAGAGCTAGCTGCAGGGTAACATGCTGGGGACAAGGGGACCTCCAGGGCACCAGGCCAAGGGGGGAGGGGTGGGCAGGAAAACTGCCTGCTGCAGCCTCTGTGACCTTTGCAGGACCCAGGGTGCGGAGATCTTGCCAGGGCGAGGCAACAGGAAGACGCTGTGGCTGCTTCAACCGGTGAAACCAACCAGCCCCCAAAGGCCAACTCAGGGAGGTGGGGGGGGGGTCCCAAGGTGGAGACAGAGGGCAGATGAATGACTTCCTTAAGGGATGACTTCCTTGAGTCATTTCCTGTCTACTTTGCCGAGGCCCAAAGGCACTGGGGCAGTCTGAGTATACAGTAGGAGTTTAATAAGGGTATCACTATTAAACTGAATCCTCGTTCGCCAACAGCTCCCGGACAGGATGTTCTGCTGGACAGAGGCTGATCCGGAGCCCCAGGCCCACCAGGAGGGAAGGTCTGGGGGGAAGGCCAAAGGGGGTGGGGGCACATTGTGACACCCCGCCCCTGCTTCGGATCCGGAACATGAAGGGAGTGTCTCAGGGGCCCCGAGGGTACCAGGTGGAGGACAAAATGGAGAGGGGACCCCGATCCAAGGCACAAGAACAGAGGAGGGGGCCCGTGATCATGAGGAAGCGTGCCATGTTCCAGAAGCCTTCAGAGGGCACAGTGTGGATGTGGCCGAGCTGGTTCTATGGACAAAGGAGCCCCTGTCACTGGGGCCCCAGGGCAGACGCCCGTCCAGGAAGTGGGGGCAGCCTGATGGGACACACTGGTCTCCTGCGTTCACGGGGGATCCATGATGGTATCTTCTAGGGTCTCGGGCCTGTCTTCCTTGACACGGTGTCCCTCCTGCAAGCAGAGAGTGGCGAGGCCCGGGGACCCCCAGGCAAGCAGCGCCACCCTCTCCGGCTTGCCCCCCAAAGCGTCACAGCTCTGGGCTCTGCCTTAATCCCTATAGACTGCTTACACGGCATCAGGGCCACCCAGGGCCAACTGCCGGGACAGGTCCCCGCTTGCCGTCCTGAGTCCACTGACCTCAGGACCCAGACCCCTGGGCCCAAGGAGACGAGGAAGACCTCTGAGGGTCAGGGAGGAGTCTCTGTCCGGCTAGCAGGTGCACACAGCACCAGGCTGCCCACCTGCGGTCCCCCCCAACGGTACCCGGGCTCCCCAGAGAAGCCTGCGCTGCGGAAGGCTCGTACGTAGCCGCAGAATAAAGGAGCGGGCGAGGCGGGCACCTGGGTTAACCTGTGTCTGGCCCACGCTGGGGGAAGAGTCCCCACAAGGGCTCCCAAATACCCGCGAGCCTTGGCCACCGGCTTGTGAAGGGGCCGCTGCTCCCCAGAGGATCCAGGTGACCCGCTGCAGACAAGTCCGGGGCCTTCTCCTCATGGAAGTAATCACCTGGACGTCGGCCTCCCTCTGCTCTAAGACACGTTTAAAACCGTGCACGTGGCCACCGGACCACACGGCCGGCCCAGCTGACCCAGGCGTCTCCGAGCAGCCACACCGTCCCCCGCCCCGGGAGGCGGGCGTCACAGCGGAAAGGACGTCCGGCGTCGGGCTCGCTCAGAGGTTCCGCGAGAAGGGACAGAAGCCGTGTGCTTCCTCACATCCGAGGCCACGGGCACAGGACACGGACCCGGAAGAACGTCCTTAGGCCGCTCTGGCTGACGGGGGTCAGCAAACCGCAGCGGCTCCACACTCAGAGAAGGGACCCCACAGAAACCCCTGCTCAAATCAGCCCGAGGCAAGTCCCCAGCTTTGTCTGGCTCTGTCTGGGCTCCTTCGACTCCACAGGCTAATCGCAACCAGAGCACCCCGTCAGAGCGTTTAAACGCTAACTGTGTAATCAAGTTACTAATTGCAGAGCTTAGGGAAAACGAGGGCTTGAAAACCATGCCGTGTCTTACTCCTGACTTCAGGCCAGACCTCCGATAATTAGTCTCTATTCCGAGGTCCATGCGATCTCTCTGGCGTGACGTAAGGAGGCCGGGCAGACAGAAGGAAAGAAACCCCAGGAGTCTGTCGTGACAGAGACCCCCCCGAGCCAGGCGTCCGGCAGGCTACCTCCCAGGCGGCCCACCTGGCTTCCCCAGGAGGCCTCACGTGGGGACAGCATCACACACGCTCCGCGCGGCCGCCGGGACCTGGGGAAGCCCCCCACCGCTCCGCCTCGAGCCTTTCTCTGGTCCCAGCCCCCCAAGTCTCTCTAGGGCAGGGGACGTGGGGCAGGATGTAGGCAGCTTCTGGGCGAAGACGAGAACGAGGGCGATCCTAAGACGCGTGTCTAGGCTCAGCCCCAAAGGTGAGGAAGTGCTCCCGGGATGCTGGGCACGGAGGCCCCTGCGGCCGTCTGCCGGGAGCACGAGGGGGCCCTGACCCAGAGGTGGGCTCCTGACGGTTCCGCAGGGGACGCCGTGTCCCTGGCTGACCTCATCTACCCAGAGTGACCTTCTTGTAAAGGGCCGACCCGGCCCCTCTCAGGGACAGCCTCCTAAGGGCCCACAGATTAAAGGCCGGCTGAGTCCAAGGGGTCCAGGGAGCAGACAGCAGCCCCCGGAAGAATGTGTCCCTCGGGACCTGGG